TTCCGTTTCTCTGCTTCCTGCTCATTGGAGAGATGTCCGTTTCTAGCTGCTGCTCCAGGTGCTATGCTTGTTGCCTGCAGCCACACTGTCCCCAACCTCATGGACTCTTATCCCTTTGGAACCATAAGCCCAAATAAACTCTTCCATAAGTTGCCTTAGTCGTTGTGCATTATCACAGAACCAGAAAAGTAACTAAGTAGACAATACTAAGCAAATAAAGATTTGAGATTTCCTGCAAATGTAATGAAACCACTTTTTAAAACCTGCTCTTTTGAGACTCTGGTGATGGATGGATGGATGGCTTCTAAAGTCCTCACTCTCTCCCTTCTCCCTTCTGCAGACATTAAACCCCAATAAAATGATCCAATAAAGCTATTTGAAGAGATGAAACTATGAAAGAGCAGAAACTGCAAAGTTTCCTAAAAATCCATTCCATGGAATGCTGTGCTCACAACATAGCTGTTATCCACACAGTGTTAGGAAATCTGACACAGTTTGAGCCGGCTATCTGCAAAGTAACTTGGTTCAAATGCACTCCTCATTCAAGCAGACTGAGTTTGCTTTATAAAACTCTGGCCTTCTGAGAATCAGAAGTCCTAAGACCAGGATTCATGAGACTGCTCCAGCTGACTCCGAGGTCTGCTTTCTGGGCTGCAGTCTACTTACCTAGAAAATGAAAACAACAACCTCTTCATGAGGCAACAGGAGAGCTGGTTTTCTATCCACATGATGACACAGTGCATGCCATAAACTACCTTGTTATACCATTTGCTAAATGAGTCTTTAGATAAAAGTCAGTCTATCAAAACACTGTCTTTGAAGAACGTAACATTGCCTCTTGGGACCAAGTCTAGAATTTTCTGAGTACCCACAGCTCATCCAGGGAGAGAAGATGTCATAACAGTAGTATGATTTTCTTGTGAGGGGATGCTACTGTGATTGTTTCCTCTAATCAGCAGGGTAGCTAAGAGCCATTATTCTGGAAGTTTTCACTATTTTGTGAATTTTATTTATTTTTTAAAAATTCCAATTTTTATGGTTTAACGCATTTCTTGATGTTATGCAATTCCTAATTTTATGCAATGCTCCTTCTCTTACCAAGCAGTATTGAATTGAGTAATTGTTGAACAGATAATGGTTTAAAGGTTTTTTTCAGTTCCATTCTAACTCAGCCATATATTCATTTCATATCTTGAACAAAGATAATTCCAAAGAAAGATTTACATTTTAAGGTTTTGTAAAGAAACAGAAATGGTAAACATTAAGCAAGAAAATCATTAGGTGAGTAATTGAAAGTAGCTTCTGTATTAGCCAGCTTTTAAATTTATGGATTGATCGATGTTTGCATGTGTGCATGCATGTGTGCATTTGTAAGGGTGCTAACTTCCCACGGAAGGCATGCCGAAGTCAGAGGACAACTTGCAAAAGTCAGGTCTCCATTTCCACCATGTGGATCCCTGGGCTCAAACTCAGGTTACCAAGTTTGGCATCAAGTGCCTTTACCTCCTGAGCCATCTCTCCATGTTAGCTAGCTAGACTTTTGTGTTACTATAACAAAATACTTTTGTTACTATAACAAAATAACTTTATAATGGAAAAGATGTTTATTTAGCTCACAGTTCTGGATGTCTGGAAACCTAATAGTGCCCTGGCTCAGTCACAGTGCTGGCCTCTCTCCAGGAGAACTCTTATGCAGAGCCTCTCAAGGAAAGAGACGAGGTGGGCATGTCCGTGTGTCTGGTTATCTTTCCTCTTCTTAAGTGTTATCAATCAAATCCACACCAGCCATGGGGGTGTCACCCTGCCCACCTGATCTCACCCCAATACCTTCCTCAAGGCCCTGCCTATCACCACATGGTGGGGATGTTTCTGCTCTACTGACATTTCTTGCTTACAGTCAGGTGGCAAACCATAGTCAAACCTTGGTGGCGGCATTTTGGGTATTAGTTGATCCACTCCTCCTCCAGCACCTGAGGCTCCAGCAGCCCATGTCCATTTTCTTATCCCACAGAAACCGGATTCAACACGAACACAAATGCGAGCAAAGAAGGTGACCGATCCATAGATACATTTTGCTCAGAAAGTTTGCTAATAAGGTGACTTGGAAAACATTTCTTTGTGAAAATCATGTTGGGAAATGATGAATAGGTATTTGTTTCAGCTCAAAAGTAATATTTACTGTGTCACATGTACCCACACCATTCCATGTGGGTACGTATGGAACAACTCTAATGGTGGTACTTTTTCACCATTATGTGTCTAACCGTTAGAACACTGTGGCTGTGGTATTTAAAGTCTGTACCAGCCAGGAATCTGTTGCCCCGGGCCATTTAACCAGACGCTCTTGCAAGTTGGGCGGTAACAGGAAAATTTGGGGTTGGGAAGGGGATAGAGTGTTGCTCTTTCTTCCTGTCATTGCCCACATAATTGTATGATAGAAGTCATCTCTCTCTCTCTGATAATTACCCTAGCACTCTTGTTCCTTTCTATTTTCAAAAGAACAACTCTAGTCCACCACCGTTTTCACTCCCAGAAGCAGCCCGTCCCTTTTCCCCATGCAGATGAAGAGCAGTTCACCAACTTTGTCTTCCCCCACACCTACTCACTTGAGTCCTATTCACTGGTTCTTCATCCTTGTTCTCAAACGTATCTAAAGCAAATGATAGACGCACCAAAACTATAGCAAGGTAATATGTGTTTAAACTATTTCAAATTGGTGATTAGTAGAAAGCAGGAGGAGAGTGGGGTGATATTTTGTTTGTGCTCTAACAAATAAAGCTTGCCAGCAGATCAGAGTGCAGAGCTAGCCACTAGTTAGCCATAGAGGCCAGGCAGTGGTGGCACACACCCTTAATCCCAGCACTTGGGATCTCATGCCTTTGATCCCAGTACTTGGGAGTCACACACCTTTAATCCCAGCATAGGACGTGATATGGCTGGGCAGAGAGAGGAATATAAGGCAGGAGGAGACAGGAGCTCACCCTTTTTTTTTTTTAGCCTGAGGATTCAGTAGAGGTAAGCAGTCTCTCTAGTGGCTGCTCCTTTACTTCTCTGATCTTTCAGCACTTACCCCCATATCTGACTCCAGGTTTTTATTATTAAGACCAATTAGAATTTGTGCTACAGGGGAGGTCGAAGGAACAAGTGTCACCTCAGTGCAGATGACTCGGGGTCCTGAAGCTTCTTGTACATGCTAGAGCATGGCTACGCAAGATTGCTCTCAACTCTCAGAAAGGAGAGCTTGATTTATGTGGTTCAGGATGCCCATCAGCAAAAGTGAACTAGTCACTCAAGTGAAGCAGAGCTAATCCTGTGCTGAAATTAAAACAGACAGACAAAAACAAAACAAAACAAAACAAAACAAAACAAAAAAAACTTCTTCATTTGACATACACAGATCAAAGTTTGTGTCATGTGATCAGCTTCCTTACTTGGTTCCAAGAGCTTTGAAAGAGTGACTCCTGTGGTAGGCAGGCAAATCTGTTCAGAATTCAGTATGATGTTCTCCAGGACACGAGATTCCAAGCTTGTCTGGCCTAATGGAAGGAAATGCTGTGAGCGTCTCGATGGGAAGCTGTTCCTTGAGGTTCCCCAGAAACATCATTCTCAGCTGAGCCTTTAACGGTGCTGTGGCAGAGGGATTACACTTCAGTGCAAGTTCGGGGACACAACTATCCTCTGTTGTCTGTGTTTGGGCTTCAGCAGCTGAGCTGAGAGTAGGATTTTCATTCTCTCCTGAAGACAGAGAAAACAAGCAAGTATGAGCCCTTGGCTTGGAGACTACCTGGGAGACATTTTAATGTGAGTTAAGGCACTATAGAGCCAAGCAGAGATTTCCCTTCAAAGCCACTCAAACCATTTTAACAGGGACAAATCAGCCATTAAGAACACATACGCACATCTTTGAAGCATGGCTGTAGCACCTGTACCCAGGAAATGGATAAAACTCAAATGTTTCCAGAAGGCCACCTTAAACTTTCTATGTTGTGCACATACTAGGGGACTATTTTCAACATTTCCTCTTGAATTTTAATGAGAACAGTTATGAAAAAGGACACTCTCTGTCATCACTGGAGTGAACACACAAAATATATTCAAAGAATTTTGAGGGTGGCTTTCAAGAAAGCTGCAATGAAAACCTTACAATGGTAGAACTGACTTCAGAGATTGCAAGGATTCATTTCCATATTTGTACTCTAAATTTTGCTAAGGAGGGGGCATGGCAGGTGTCTATATCTTTCCTGGTGTGAATACAGGCCCACAAGCCGGGGAGGAAGCCGCACTCATATCTACCTTGTGGTACCAGTTTACCCTCACCAGCCCATGTAATATCCTTCCATTTACTTCCTTCAATAACTACCAATGCAAAAGCAGCAATAAGCAGGGAGGCACCCTTCCCACTCTCTCAGTACCCCAGGACTTCATAAATTCGAGAAAACTCTCACTGCACGAACCAGGGTCACCTTTTCTGATTTTGGGCAACTTTCCATGTCTATTTTTTTTTTTTTAAATCCAAGTCTCTAATACATCTCCAAGGCTCCCCGTTTAAGACACATTGCATTGTGTCTGAGTAATCTACCAGAAAAGGAAGCTACGGTATGTCGCAATTCATCATGGGGATTCTCATTAAGAAGCACAAAAGCATAAATCTGTTTTTCAAATCTGGTTCCTCTTCGTTTCCACTCTATTACATCATGTTATTCATGAGATTAGGAAATTCTGTCAATATATGTGAAATAGAGAAAAAGTTACCCAGCAAGGAAAGCGTCAGGTCTGCTTCAGCTGCCAGCGTTCCTGGGGATTTTTAAAAACAACTTTTGTCCAATTTGTTTGTTGGCTTGCTCGTTATATGAAGGTGAGAGGACAGCTAACAGAAATCAGTCCTCTCCTTCTGCCTGATAGGTCCCGGAAATTGAACTCCGGTCATCAGGCAGCTATCACATTAGACGTTTCTTAAGAGTGTAAAAGGAGTGTTTTTCAAGATATCATTATGTTGTGGGAATTTGCTCCATTCAGCCAATGGCTTTGGGGTCGAAAGCCCCAGGGCATGGTCTTGCCTGATGATGTGACCGCTTAAGAGCAGAGGAATCGGGGTCATGCTCTCTCGTGGTAGGCATGCGCACTGGCCCTTTCCCCTTCACATTCTTTTCCTCTGTGCCTCTGATCACGTCGGCACACACCTTCTCCAGGAACTTCACATTGTGGCTGGTGAGTGTGATTCGAATTCGGTGAATCACCACCTCGAGCTCCACGGGCACCTTTAGGGTATCTTTAAAATCCATGGCTGCATCATGGCCTCTGGACCAAGTTGTCCTCAGCGGGAGCGAACAGCAGTGAGTCAGGACAGGAGCAGACCGAACAGAGCTCTGCTGCATGCAACATTAAAATACACCATTTATTGATAATTTATTATAATCACAGAATTGAAAAAAAAAAAAACCTCTTGCAATGAACTTCAGGCATTTTAATTAAACCTTTCTGTATCATTAGCAGTTGTCCCATATAACTGAATTTTGTCTAACCCCAGGCTAGTTATAAACTAATATACTTCCTGTGCTATTCTGAAATCGTACATATATATAAAATCATCAAATGTGTGGTCATTTGTGCCCGGCTTCTTCCACTAAGTATGATGGTTTGAATAGGAATGGCCCCATAGGCTCATACATTTGAATCCTTAGTCATCCGGGAGTGGTGCTATTTGAGAGGGATTACGGGGTGTGGCCTGGTTGGAGTAGACATTGCCTTGTTGAAGGAAGTATGTCACTGGGGGTGGGCTTTGGGGTTTCAAAAGCTCAAGCCAGGCCCAGTGGCTCTCTCTTCCTGCTGCCTGTGGACCCAGATGTAGAACTCTCAGCTTCTTCTACAGCATCTGCATGCTGTCATGCTTCCTGCTGTGGAACTAAACTCTGAAACTGTAAATACTTTCCTTAATAAGAGTTGTCATAGTTATGGTATCTCTTCACAGAGATAGAACACCAACTAAGACACTAAGCATGATGTTTCAAGGTCCATCTGTGTTGTAACTTCATTCTTCTTTAATATTTGTGATTTAAATAATACTTGTATGTTGACAGTTATTTACTTATTCCTTTAATGAAGTTATCAGTCGGCTATTTTGGATAATGTATTATGAGCTTGTCTGCAGATTTTATGTTGAAAAGATGTTTTCATTTGTCTTGAGCAGAAACTGACAAAGACTCTCTCTGCCCTAGTTTACCTCCTGTGGCTGTGATAAATATTATGACCAAAAACAACTTGGGGAGGAAGAGGTTTATTTCAGCTATAGCTCATAGTTCATTGTGAAAAGAAGCCAGGGCAAGAACTCAAGGCATGAACCTGGAGGCAGGAACTGTAGCAGAGACCATCAAGGAATCCTTCTAATTGGCTTTACTCTTCAGGACTTTCTCAACCTGCTTTCTTATACAGCCCAGTACCACCCACATTGGGCTGGGCCTTTCTATATCAGTCATCCCTCCAGATAATGCCTCCCAGACATGCCCACAGGCCAGTCTAATGCAATAAGTTCCTCAACTGAGGTGCCCTCTTCCCAGGTAACTCTAATTTCTGTCCAGCTGCCAATTACTGATCAGCACACTCTCCTGAATTCAGCTTTCCTTGGGCTCCCCAGAGCTCTCTTGTCCTGTTATCATGCCCAAGGCTTCTAATCCACTTTAGGATCCTAAGTATGGTCAGCAAGCCTCTCCAGCATTTTACATAGCCATGTAATTTCCTCATCCTCTACTCTAAGTTCCTGCCTACCATTGTAAGAATCCTGGTAAGCCACTTCACAAAAATCCCCAACTCATGATGTCAAAACAAGCTCATCTTGGTTCACGGTTTGGTCCACTGATTCCTTCAGTATGCTTATAGTTAGCTGTGGTAGTTTGAATGTGATTGGCCCCCGTAAGCTCATAGGGAGTGGCACTATTAAGAAGTATGTCTTTGTTGGAGTGGGTATGACCATGTTGGAGGAAATGTGTCACTGTGGGGGCAGGCTTTGATGTTTCCTACGCTGGAAATATGGCCCAGTAAATCAGTTGACTTTCTGTTGCCTGCAAAATTTAGGACTCTCAGCTACTCCTCCAGCACCGAGTCTGGCTGCATGCTGCCATGCTTCCTGCCATTATGATAATGGACCGGACCTCTGAAACTGTAAGCATGCCACCGTAGTTAATGTTTTCGTTATAAGAGTTGCCACAGTCATGGTGTCTCTTCACAGCAATAGAAATCCTAACTAGACACTAATTTATAGAATATAGTTTATAATTCAGAGCTACCTTTCCTGTAGTTGGAGTTTAGTTTATCTCTATACCACAAGCTCCCTTTGTTACCACAATAGCTGGTCTTGCTACTTTTATCAAAGGTATACCCCTCAAATACATATTTATGGACTATCTAGATCCTATGATAATTCTAAGTTTTGACCTTTGAGAAAGTGTCAAACTATTTCTGAAATGGCTGTATAGTTTATATTCCCATCAGGAAGGTATGAGTGTTCCCACTTCTCAATGTCCTCCCAATATCTTCTATTACCTGTTATTTTTATTTCAGCCATTGTGATGGGCTCAAAATTGTATCTCATTTATATTTTTGATTTATCTAGTAGCTAATGGTATTAGACTTCTCATATTTAATGTTTGTTGGCCAATTGCTTATCTTCTCTGGGGAAATATTTATTGAAATCTTTGGCATGTTTCTGTTTTTACTATTGAGTTAATAGTAATAGCCAATATCAGATAGATCAAAGAAATTATAGTCATACAGAATGACTATAATCTGATTACATTTGAGTTACTGTAACAAAATACCATTAATTAGGTTATTTATAAGCCACAAAAATATATTTCTAATGGTTCTAATGGTTAGAAAATGACTAACTAGTGGTTAGAAAATACAAGACTAAGGTTCTAGAAGACTCAGGGCTTAGTCATTGACCATTCTCTGGTTCATACGTGGCAGTCTCTCACTATAGCTATGAGTCATGGAAGGTACCAGGAGCTCTCTGACACTTCTTTTCTAAGGGCACTAACATCAGGTGTGAATCCTCCTACTTAATGATCTAACCCTCTTCCAGAGGACCCTTTTCCTCTTTGCACCATTACATTGAGAGTTAGGGTATCCAAATGAATTTGTTAGGAATCAATGTATACATTTTAGGGTATAGTAGTCCTGTTTAACATAATTTACACAGTAAATCACTTTCAAAATTCTTATCTAGGATAAATGATACATCACCACTGATATTATTTTCCATCTAAAGCAACACAATTTTTTTCATATAATAAGAACAAATTTTGCATTAATGTTGTTCAAAATTTAGTTGTTTCCAACTCTAAGCTCTGTTTAAGATTTTTTTATTTTTTTGTTTTAATATACCATTCCTACATCAAAATCCAAATAAAACGAGGAGTGAGGCACTAGGAATTGTAGGAAGTGCTCTTGGGGAAGTAAGTGCTCTAGAAACATGAACACGAGCTCATGCATATTGATGAAATTATTAAAGCCACTCCATGTAGTTTAAAGGGAGGTTTATTTTGTGGGGTAACTTACAAGTGAAGGGATAGGTAACAGGGTCTGGGAAAGGTGTGGCATAGTCCAGTGGTATTCTCTGGAGAACTCTGCTTGGTCTACCTCCAGCGTCCAGGGTCCAGGAACCAAGAGAGGTGGCACATCCGGATCTTGGGTCTTAAGGGTCCTCCCTCGGCCCCGCCTTGTAGGCATGACAGTTACCGAAGCCCAAAGCCTCAATGGGGATTGGAACTTCCAGATCAAAGCTGGAATGGCTACCCACTACACATACAAATCACAGGACTCATCATTGTTGGCCCCTATGATTATTTCTTCCTTTCTTTCAATGGGCTGTCCAAGTTGGGTAGCTTGGGTGGCCCATGTGTTCATTAGCTCTAAGGGAGATGGCTTCTGGTCTCCTAGGTGGCAAAACCTTCAGAATCAGACTTCCAGGTGGGGTACCTTGACCTAGAGAGATGCTGTATATCTGATGCGTTTCCACCCTTGCTATTCTCACTGTAAAGATGCACTGTTATTTGGAACAGGCAAGGATGTGGATGAGCCAGAGGTGAAACAACCTTTGTGCTTGAGCTTAGAGGAAGAGTAAGGGTGCTGCTTGGAACAGAATGGAATGAAGCACGCTGCCACTTCTCTCCATATCTTTCTACTCTGAAGTTTTAGTTCTGGAGTTTGTGCAGCTCTAATACTTGGTCCTCCTCAGTGGTAAAGCCTCCACTGTAACCAGATCATGCCCAGCATTGCTTAGCCTTGCCTGATGTCTAAAATGCTGGATGCTCTCCTGAGCATGTTTTAGCCTTCACCCCAAGGACCTGGTCCTCACTGTTGTAGAAGACCTCTATTTTTCTACTAAACTCTATTTTTCTACTAGAACTGTTTACTACTAAGCAAATATACGAACAAAAGCCGAGCTGCAGGCTGCTGAGTGCTGGAGTTTCAAGTCTGGAAACACTGCATATGCTTCTGGATGATCACACATGGTCACACATTACACAAATCTCCCAAAGTCTAACCTAAATCAACTACATTAACTCTGGTTAGCCCAGGGATTTCCTAATTTGTGGTGGGATAACACAAAGGAGTGGATGGACACTGTTTTTTTTTCCTTCTTCTGCCTTGATGAGGTGCTGCTCTGAAATTACTGTCCATGTCCACTGACATAGGAGTCATGGGTATGGAGTCCCCAAAGGCATCACCTTAGCTGAATGACTCGATACTTCCTGGTGGGAAGGGGCATTTTGCCTGGATAGCCACTATGCCTAGGAGCAGCCACTTCTGGCTGTCTTCAAGTCATTGAAAGACTAGGATCCACTTGCTCCCTCTATATAAAATTTGGAGCTGAGTTCCTGTCCACACAATGACAGAATTTTAGGACATTGTAGACAGATGCTGCAGAAGGGCTGAGCTCCGAATAAGATCTATCCAGGGTTTTGTTCTCCTTCATCCAGGAACTTCAGGGCTAAAGACTCTGAAAATCAAGCCTCCTGAGGGGTTGCAGCTAGTCCAAGTCAACTGCTTCACAAGATCAGCACTGATGCTGTGGGTCTAAAGTACCTGCCAGAGAGCATTGTGGGTAGCCACCTGGCTCATTAAGCAATTCCATATGATTTCAACCATTTCAAATTGGTTGGATCTTAGTTTGGGCCTAATGTATTGTCTACCCTGTAGAAATTTCCATGTATACTTGAGAACAATTCGTATTCTGCTATTGTTCTGGAGACATTGGTTGGACTAAGTTGGTTTATACTCTTGTTGAACTCTACAACATCTTTATTGATTATCCTACTCTACTGAGATGGGACATTGAAACTCAAATTGTTTTG